TGAATTTTAATGAGATATGTACTGCTCTGACATGACATATTTTGAAAAAGGATAGATTACAGTTTCAATATTTTTCCTTCATCCACCTATACCATTTATCCCATATCTGGTAGAATTCTGATTCTTCTTTTCCCTGTATTTGTGGGCCAATTCTAAATAAGACAAGAGTAATTCAGTCAATCCTGTTATATACGTTTTATGCATTTACTTACGTAGGATTATATAATGTATATAATACCGTATAGGAATTCTCTAGAGAATATTAGAAAAATATTGAAACTGTAATCTATCCTTTTTCAAAATATGTCATGTCAGAGCAGTACATATCTCATTAAAATTCAGATATTTACTAATATTCTAAAATGCTAAGTAATAATCAATCTGAAATATTTGCAACCAAGTAATACTTTTTCTTAGTAGATTATATTTCTTTAAATATTTGCTTGTTCCCAGGCCTAGACATTTCCTGACTTTTGTTAAGTAGATGGACTCAGTGTCTAATTGAGAGAGGATGTGAACACACCAGATGACATGGTGTAATTCACATGAAGGAAGTCTACTGTTTTGATGTTTATAAGCTCCATATGCTAGTTGTTTGTACTTTGATAAGAGCATTTTTGGAACACAGAACAAACCACAAGATTCACTGCATACTGCTGTACAAAATTCATTCTTCTTTTGTGTGTCAGAAAGGACTAAAAAGGCAAGGAGGTTGTGTGACTTGCTATTTAATAGAGTGTGACTTGCTGTTTAATACTTTTAATTTAACTGAAGAACTATGCCCAAAGATTTTTTAGAGTTAAATACATGGCACATAGGCGATAGATACATTAAAATATGTTAAATTACAAAATTTGTTTAAAAGTTTACTATTCGTATAATTATTTGTGAATAATATCACAAATTTGTGATATTTATGAATCATACAATTGTGATATATATAATATGAGATAGAACGTACCTAATATGGCCACATTCTTCATTATGTTTATTTGGTTTCATGAAGGAGGAAGATTTTATGATTTCACAGGGACACAGCAACATTTTAGCTTCAGCTACTCATGCCTGCATCCCCCTCCCCAGGAAGCACATAATGGCAATGAGAAGATCCCTCTGGCCAGAGAAGGAAGAGCTGCAGAGTTCTTCCTTCCTACCAGAAATAACATTTGGAACCAAACTAGGAGGTTACATACTCCACCCTTCTCAAAATAAGTATGAGGATGATCTCTCTGTCTCTGTCTCTGTCTCTGTCTCTCTGTCTCTCTCTGTCTGTCTCTCCCTCCCTCCCTCCCTCCCTCCCTCCCTTGGGCACAGCATTTAATCAGTTTATGCTTTCTTTATAAATTGGGTGGATGAGTAAACTGTCTTGCCTTTGATGCTTCCTCCTCAAGAATATTCCCATTAAGCTATTGAAATCTAAGCTTTGTAGACAGGGTTTTTTCCCCCAGAATGGTGGTTAAGATTTATTAGTGTCCATAAGTGGCTCCAAACAATCATATGGTTGTTCCAACCATTTCTGTTAATCCAAGTGGCTGGAGGAATAGAATTAACATCAACAGAATTCTTCATCTATTCAAAGTTATACAACACAAAATAGGAGTACTTTAAAGTGCCTAGTATAGAATGATGCCTTCCACAGTTTGAAGATAACTAGTTGATGACAATTAATCTAGGCTCTCAAGCATATTAATTAAAAAGCCTAGAGAGAG